TCATGACCCAAGCCGGAAAATTGATGGGGTTAGTTCACACAGTCCAGAACAGAGAGCTGCGCACCAAAATCATTCTGATCGAATATGATCGGTAACCGTACGGGGATCCTTTGAGCTCAACAAGTTCTAATTTGTCTTATCCGACTTCGAATGTCTCCTGGTGAGCTCCGTATGGTATCGTGGACACTCAGATCATATCGTATCCCGCTGAATCTTCTTGGATCGCAATGCTTTCTGTTGCTGGCAGCTAATCTCTAAGTTACCCATCCCCATCTTGGTCTAGATAAATCCTACCATCGACCGTTGCTTTAATCAAAAATATCTCGTACCCGGCTGGATTCTATTCACATGTATTGTGGTCCATCTGGATCTGACTCTGACATAATATTCCAAAAAATATATTTTCATCTCCCAACTTTGGAGACTGTTATCACACCTCTTAAAACGGACGATGGACGATAAAAAAAATTCGCGTGAAATATTTTTTGAGAGCTATCTCCCATATAAGTTTCATAAAAATTGAAAATTGGGTTTTTTATTTTACTGTCATTGTAAGCACTAATATCTATCTAACTAATAGTATCTAACACTAATAATAAATTAAGTGATAATGTAATATTGGCGGAATTATTTAATGTTCCATTATTGGATATGTGGAGGTAGAAGTTTGGAGAACAAAAGAGGAGAAACATTTTCATCCACGTTCCCGTTCCCGTGTTAAACACTCGGGCGTTCATAACGTTTAAGACGTTAACGTCAAAGTAGGATATAAAACAAGGGAAAAATGGGGCATTATAATGGTTGAAAGTTACTCGCTGTATCCCAGGTAACATAATGAACTATCAAAAGCACATACATTGAAGCATATATTATCTCTTATCGTTTGTTCAGAAGCGTATCTAGGTCGAGAAATATTACAAAAATGCATTCTGCATAAAACGACGATAATGAGATTTAAATTTTAATTATATTTTTAATTCTTCCGTGACATGTACACCCTTTTCATGAATAACATACTGTTACTTAATGTCACGTGGCTGCTGAAAAGAGTTGCATTTTCCATAAGAAAAAAAAAGAAATTGGATTAAATAATTTTTCCCTATGCAGTCATTAACGGGACGCAATTTAATATGTGTACAAACTTTGTAAAATTATGCACAGTAATTACGATGTTAATTTGAACAACTTATGATCAATAGGTACATCTATTAAAAATGTTCGACAATATTACTGGACCTTAAATTGCATTCACGGCGGCCGATCCTAAAAGCAAGCACATTCTAAATACATTAATGTACTCAACTTTCATATTACACGAAAAATGTACCCGTGCTAATCGATTTTTCGCTTCGACAACGATTCGAACGCGCGGGACAAAATTAATTTCTGATATTATATGTTTCAAGCGTAATTTGCATTTACTTAAAAATAAATCATGAGACCATGAATACCTGGAATTGGTAATTTGAGGTGAAATTAACAATCTAAATTCCACATCTAGGTAACAGCGGAATTTATAAATATATGTATATTACGTTTGCAGATACTACTAGAAATATTAACCTAATATTTAAGAACAATTGATTATTCCAACTCGTGCACTCCGAATTTGATTCACTTTTATAAATAAATAATTGTATTACCATTCGTACTTTAAATCTACGTAAAATCAAGTTTACCCATCTTGTAACTCCAACGGGCTGAGGTAACCCAAGTAATTTCAGTGAAGTACATACAACCCCTGAATACTGTACCCTTAACCCTCATTGCTGATTCAGGAGTTAAGAAATTCGTCGGGTCAATTTACCCGTTAAAGTTAGTTCTACTTGGTATAGCAACAACACTAAATTATTAGCAGACATTTAAATATCGTATACACCTTTGAATAATTCACTTTATTATTCTTCTTTAACTCTGTGTTTATATACCTCACTCGACTGCATATTAATTGATTCAATATTGATACCACTAGATCTCATTAAAATTAATTACACGAAACATTCCCCTCGCATTTACAGATTAAGATCCCAGACTTATCTGGTATTACTGTAGCGCGTCATCGGAGCGTGTCGTTAACCCTTAATGCAACAACACATTTATCAAAGTAAACCTGCAGAACAGAGTCTCGCGCACTGTCAATCAAAAGTTTCACATTACCTTGTGATTTAGGGGGCGTACAATTTTTTCTCATTAACGAGACAAATTTATCGAACTACAAATAATAATATTAATTAGAAAAGGTAAACCATTCAGAATTCCATATAGTCACTTAAAGTACTTAAAGAGAAGATAACAAATTTTAACGTATTCCAAATGAAGATTTGAAATAATGCATGGTATCATCGAATCGATATTAATTACATAAATAAAGAAATGATTTCACATAAAAAAAAATAAATGGAAAATATACCATAAAATTTGTTCGTGTGAAGGTTTATTTTGGAATAAATCGATGCTGAACATTCATCTGGTACGTTTGCACCGAAGCGTTCATTTAGCGTGTCTGGCCATTACCGCCTATTTCCACTGGCGTTAATGCACATAAACATTAACAGTGGTACACTTCGTTTTCGAAACTAGTTTGATATATACTGAATGTTGGAGAACATAGAGATCAATGAAACATTAATTATAATACCTATACCATGATCAATGTTTCATCCAAGTAGAAACAACGAATAATGGTCGGACCACTGTTAGCTGTAACTGAGATCACGCGAGCTCACCCAAGTGTTGAACTTAAATTCATCAGGGACGACGCATCATATGAAAAAAATGTTATCGACAGTTTCAATTTAGGTTTTTATGGAGAATTACGTCATGTAGAAATGCATCTACAGTTCGATGACACACTGTGCACAAAACCTGTTAAGCGGAAGATGAGTCAACCACGAATACTAGTAGAGATACAATTCACAATGCGTATTATCCATCTGGAGCAACCCCCAGAGGGAAACGTATAGTAATGCTACCAACCGCTACCACAAATGTTATGGCACAGTTTAACATTGGAATATTTCGATAAAAAAACAAAGAAAACCGTTTCGACTTTCTTTGAGGTTTTCACTATCCACCAGCAAGTTACAAGCCTCCAACAAACCGTATAACACTCTATGATCCATGCAACAAAACGGGTCAATAAAAATAACCAAAACATCCGCGTGCTAAACCCAGCTACGGCCTGTTAACAGTCTGTCCCATTTAAACAGTCATCACCTCCCATTGTTTATACTGACTCGACTGGTCGAATAAAGCACAGTCAATTGACTTCGTCCTCTATACACACTATACAAACAACTGTCCCAGTACCCGGTTAAATCAGCACCATCCCTCATTATCGACGCAACCAACAATGACAACAATCCAAATCATCCAAATTCGTCTTGTCCCATCCTAACGTCATATCCAAAGGCCCAGCTCTAGGATCAACACGTCGTTACTGTGACCTTCGTGCCTTCCACCCCTTTAACCCGCAATGGTTCGCAACGTGTGCGTACTCAGTAGAGGGAACGGGGGATTGTCGCGCGGCGAGGAAAAGAACACCGATAGGAAACGGCCGAAAAAGAGACAATGGGGACAGCAACGCGTTATTATTTACCTTCTGACCCTACGCACGGCCGAGGTGCGGGACGTTACGTGAGGACAGGGTTGCGATTCTGGCGGACAGTCGCAGCCACCGACCACGGCACGGGCACGACGAACCCTAATCAGCACCGGATGCACCGGGCACGGCTGCACCTGACAACCGCACACGATCGTTTGCGGTCCACCGCGGGATTTCCGTCCGCCGCCGCCGCGTTTCGCGCGTTGGTCCACGTGCAGCTGACACGGCTGTACGGGACAGCCACATCGGGCTGCTGCACCGCGACGCCCGGCGCTCTGTACGCGTCTCCAAACCCGCTCCATTCAACGACCGGCGTGCGACTAACGGTTGCACGTCCCACACCACCTTCAGTTCACTCGATCAACCTCGGGTGGCCTCGGCGAACCTCGGGTCGCTCCGTCAGCCCCTTGAATAGATCACCCACACGGCAACCACGACGAACTGTCACGTGGGCCGGACGAACGGACGGAGGGTTCTCGGGATGCGCTAGCTTCGACAAGCTTCGACAAACTTCGATTCGATTTCGAGGGTGACACACCTGTCCCACAGATTCCTCGCGATACAGTGATTCTGATTTTCTTTGTTCCTAGGTTAACGGTGTGGGTTTAGGACGTTAATGCAATTAACTCTTTGATACTACTCCTTTGTCGAATGTGACGATCAGTTTCATTCACCCTGTATACAGGGTGTTCGACTGTTAGTGGGAAAAAATGTAAAGGGTGATTCTTTGAGGCAAAACAAGACGAAAATCAAGAATAACGAAATTGCGACAAATGCTTCGTTTGATAGTTATAAGCGTTTAAAAATTGAACCAAATGATGGCCAATGAACAGCTGTCTACTTACCCCGTAGAAGATGTCGATAACTTGTGCTCGCGGTATTTGAGTCGAATCCACTTGTATCGCATTAACTCTGATTACTCGATAAAATGCGCAAGAAATATAAATATCTTCTTATGAATATTATCGAGTAGAGAGGAATCGGACCCTGCATTTAGCATTCAAGGGTTAAGCGGCATCCAGACTGGGATACAGGCACCGGAAACACTGTATCCCAACAACTGATTGACTCTACGAATACAAATACCGTTAAATGTGATTAGAAATCAACTTTTAATTAACCCTTTAAGGCCTGAATTATGTTATCGTTATTTTTTTACTGCGATTTTTCTTCCAGATACTTGCAAAAGTGTTCAAATATGATCTTATATTTTTATTTTTTGTAATTTTGTTAAATATTAAATCGGTATATATTAAATATAGTGCATCTAAGTGCTGGCACCATTATGTTTAAAATATAAACTTCGAGGAATTTTATTACAATCTTTATTTTAAACTAATTGGACGAAGAGAAGTAGTTACGCTAGAAAGCGTTTGGAAAATATCCGTCACGGCTCGAACCGTATGTATCGTTAAAAATTTATAAGCTATGCATACAGACGGAAGTTAAACATACGTATAGTATACTGTTTGCTTCGATACTGTTACAAATATTCACAAGAACTGTACATATTTACCAGTGTGACATTTTAATTGGATCGCGTAGTACTTAGCAAAGAAACAGCAAATATCTGCTGTAAAATTCGAGGTATCTCCTTAAGGTCCATGCACACGAATGCTCGGCCCAATGGCATTTTCGTCATCAATCTTAAAATTAAACGTACACATTATATTCTTACTTTATTATTTCCAAAAGTGTTCCTTTTATAATTCATCTGATACGATGATCAAAACCGCTAATTTAGATTTAGAACTCCCTTCTATTACTTAAAATAGCAAAAACATTTTGAACCATTGTACTTACCTAGTTGCCTGATCACCCAAGGATCCAATGAATATGGCGAACGCATTCACATCCGGATTCGACATGAGAACCTTAGCGAAACTTTCAGGTCGAATACCATAACGTTCTAAATTGGCGTCAGACAATACAACAACGATAGCTTCGTCGGAATCTTCTTTAGCGAGGCTTGCAATTGAATATTGAGTGGCCTCCAAGGTATTATCACCAGATATGCAAAACTGCGAGTGCGCGTACATCGTCTGAAAGACCACCACCTTTAGAACACTGAATCACGCTATTTAATCCTAACGTTCCACCTTAACACCCACTACCTTTATTATTTCCAATCTCCGCTTATTATCGGTCGGTGGCTGTGTATGCTTCACGAAAACAATATCATAATCATCGCCGGAATGACCAACGATGTCATACTGAAATTTCCCTTCGTATCCGCTAAACGCTTCCATTACCATAACGCTGGCCTCCATCTCACGATCCAGGCGACCATCGTACCCGTTAAACCTATACATGCTACCAGACACGTCCACCACTAATTTTAAACGCTTTGGTTTTGATGGCGGCGTACCAAGCTCCGGTTCCTTCTCCGCTCTCCTTCGATATATCGTTCTCTCACCTGTTAGACCTTCTATCAATTTTGTATCATCCAACTCACCAGAGGTCTGATGTCTGCACCATTCTCGTTCTTTGCTTTTAGCTTGGAGGCTTCCTAAAAGAGAGATGCAAAACGAAAAATCACGGAACGAACGTGATCGAATCACTCGTAATTCACAAGTAGCAGTTCACGCCATCTCTACTTATTACGGATCAAGCTTTAACTGTGGGGCATTGTACAACTATGTCCTGGTCTAGAAACTTGAAGAATCAATTGAATGCTATGTGGAATCGCTCTGTGTTGCATATACAATATATGTATTACTTATGAAGCATACCAAAAAATGCCCAAGTATTTACCTATTATTGTCCTCAATGCCTGAACCTGTTTCTGAACCGGGTTACTGAACCGTGAATACAATTGATTGTCGTATTCCCCCATTTTGATGTCTTTCAAGCGTTGCTTGAACGCTTTAACTCCCATTTCTCTCGCCGCCTTTTTTATGTGTTCCGGCACCGCGTTTTTCTCCTCGTCGCTAAGTTGGTGCACCGTGTGGCCCGCGTCCAAACGATAAGGTCCACCCTTCCCACCGAGGCCAGCTGTATCTCTTCCTGAAGGTTTCATTGAACGCTTAACCGCTGTGTTTTATTGTTCAACAACTGTATACCGTACCTCCGGTTCCCCCAGCCCACGTATTCCCACCAACGTGCGGCTCATTTTTCTCGTCGACTTTACCGTGCTTCGGACTACTAACGTCCAGACCGGAATACCTCTCTTTGGTGATCTGCAGTCTTTCGTTATCACTGCCTACCATTCTTTGCCACGCTTCCAACGATCTTTCGATGTTTCCTGCAGAGGTTTCCCAAACACGAAGACAACCACCTGCGTCCACTGTTACCAAATCATGATTCGATTTCGCGGCGATATAGAGAGGATAATAGGGTGCGTACAACTGTTGGGCATATATCGATTCATTGACTGCTCTGCAAAATTCCCAAAAAAAGAAAAGAAGATTAGCTGACCAAATTCAACGATAGAAGGACCTGAAAGTAATGGAACTTATTGTTGAAAGTTATATCGAATAGTACTGACCTAACCTCTAGAAGTTATAGTAATTACATATCTGTCTCATAGATTTAATATTGTCTAATCCCAACAGCATAAAAAGTGTTTTACAAAAATAGAGTACTCACTGTGGTACAGGTATGTAACGCAGCTTATGGTTCGTAATGTCAACAATTTCTAGGTAGTGAGAGATATCCGAGTGTCTACCATTTTGGGGTAAAACATCTTCCGGCACTTCATCCGGCATAGCCGCTCGAATAATATGACCGTTCTCCATGACAATCGAAGAATCAGAACTTCGACTTCGCTGTTTTCTCGGCCAAAAATGAAGTTCGGTGAAACTATCTAAATCAGGAAATCCAATTGCGATTCCAACGTATACATTGTCACCCACCAAGAGTCTATTCGGAGAATCGATTTGTTGTTCCAGCGCTGCGGTAAGTATACTAACAGGTATGTCATTCTTGCTGCAACTCCGAAGTGAACCAAATTTTCGTCGAATGTCGACAGGCTCTTCGATTTCTTGCAGAACATTTGGGCAAGGTAAGGAGTCGGTAGATTTTCTAAGAATATACCTGGTACCAGACGTATCTTGGATCAGCCATTTTCTCGTGGACGCGATCATAATCGATTCTATGTCGAATGGTACATTAATCGAGTAGGCGTTCGCGGAACGTAAATCGATAACTTCGATTTTATTGGAATTCAGGGTATGGAAAACGATTTGATTGCGAGACTGTATCAGATCATTTTTCATCTTCCACTGAAGCTGTTTCGTATTGAAGCTTCTTGATATTCTGTCCGACGCCATGTCGAAAACAGATGCTGACTGTACACGTTGAGCAGATTTATTATCCAAATTTACCATTACGAAACTATTACTCTGAAAAAATATATTTTCATACAACAAACTCAAGTTGAAAAGAAACATTTATAGTATGTTATTACAAAGTTACTTACTAATTCTTCGTGTACCAAAACATTCTGTTCATTATCAGTTGCCATCTTGAATATGGACCTATTATCTGCACTTATTACATTCTGTATCACAGTCTCCTTAATTCTATCTGATTCCTGGTTTATACTAAAGATTCTTAAAGGATTCGACGCTAAAATATGGATAGTATCGTCTGTACCATCGCCTTTTGCACCTTTGGCCACGGTCAAACCGGCGACCATACCATAATCGCTTATCGGTATAGTCCAATAACTTTGCAATTCGCTGAATAAAGTCGATCTAGCATCGACACGGTCTAATGGCAAATTGTTCTGTGTTAAACGTATCGGCGATCTGAACTTAATGTATCTTTCTTGCACAGGCAATATATTTTCCTTCTTTAATATGTCCCAAATAATGGAAATCTTGTGTTCCGGGAAAGAAATTCTGAAATGGAAAGGAACAAAAAAACATATTAAACCTTCTGCTCTCCGTGTACTACATTCTATTAACACTAATCAATTATTAAAAAATAAAAACACACATTCGACTTAAATATACTTTTTATTTGTACCAGGTAAAACTTTCATTTAACAACGTTTATTCACATTGAATATCTTACTCTTTCGCTAACGAGATATTATTGGGACTGGTTCCTATAGCAATCCCATGTTTGTGAAGAACAGAGACTAAAGTATCAAAAATTTCTTTACTGTACCGATCGAAATCGAATACATTGCGCACCACGTTACCCAAAGGTTCCTGAGGGAATTTCTGAAAATGCAATCAAATATTTTTTAACGCGTGAATATTATAATAAAAATTCGAAAGTAAGTTTTAAGAGCGTACCTCTATATGCTTCACGATATTAACAACTTCTCGAGTCGAATACGGATACGAAACTAAACCTTTGTCGGCCATGTCCCTCAATTCTCCGAAAGCTTTTACTAGCTTAAATATTACTTTCTCGTCCACGCGTGGGCCATATTGCTTCAGAAGCTGAATCTCGTCGTCGATACTTGGATTGTCGACGGCGTGCGTGCTGAACAGATCGCCCAAAGCTCCGAAAAAGTCATTCCCCAAGAATGGAAATCCAGGCCTGTTTGCTAGCACTATCATTCTGAAGTCTGAATGAAGCGCTATTATGTTTGAATTCTCTTTGGAAGCGTTTTTAGAAGAAACGATTCGTCTACCATCCGACAATATCATTTCTCCAGATTCGACTAATGTCTAGAAATGAAAAGGGACAATTTCTGCATAAGGTACCAAATAAACTTTTCTGTTCCAAGAGAGACATTATTGTTTCAATTTACGTCCATCTAATGATATCTACTGATCACGATTCGTGGTTCAGCCTGTATACATATATACATATAATAGAATATCATAATACACAACAGAAATACATACTTTCAGAATGCAGGTGACATTAGTAGGAGCTTTGTCCGCCTCGTCAACGACAAGCACATGGCCAAGTTTAACAGCCTGCACCAGCGGCGAGTCTTCGTACATCACTTTCCCGTCCCTAACCACCGGCTGCAGCGTCAAAGTTTGAACGGTCGTGTCTCTGTGCAGTTGTATGTACTCCCGCGGTCGGTTCAAGAGTTGCAGCAGCCTGTCGACGATTTTGTTCTTGCCGACACCCTGATTGCCGACCAGCAGTATATGCTGCCCTAAACTGAAGTCCTGCAGCAGCCTCTCCAATAGAGCGATGTGCTGGGGTACATTGTAAAACAAGATATCGGGTACTTTCGTCAGAGCCTTCGTGTTGTATCGATCGACGACAGTGTTCCCGATTTGCAAGGTGGTTTCCGTGACTTTGCACTTGATGTCCTTATTCAACGGCGTTATGGTTGGGACGATACCTATCCGACCGCAACAGTCTCCCAGAGCCTTTCTCGCCAACGCTGGTAAGAACCGGGCTAAACAGGCGCGTTGTACAGCGTCGTACGCGTCGTCGCTACGAAATTTATGCATTCTCTCGGCTATCCTCAGAAGCTGTCTAGTGCTCAAGGAGGCGGCCAAGGATTGAAGAATAGGATCGCTGGAGGACCGTAGAACGTGTGCCAGCTCGAGAATGCTCGATAACGCCTTAGAGGGTTCTCCGTACTGTAACAACGTAAGATGTTCAGTACGCAAAAATGGAAGATGAAGAAATGCTTGAAAATTAGGATAAACACCTTCGATCGTATGATATGGAGTTCCTCCGATTTAGCCAACGGCCTCATCTCATGGAAAGGGAACAAACTGAGTAGTTCGGAATTTAACCATTGTCCCGAAGGACTATTGATCAACGGCGATTCCGCCAAGGCTATGATTCTGAACGATGGATTGATACGTAGTACACCTGAATTTTGCATGTCCTCGTCCGACTTGTTATACTCCGTTTTTATCTCGTCGTACCGATCAGCTCTGATCAACCTCTTGCCGTCGTGTAATTGTAGCTCCCGATCGTGAACTAATCTACAAACGGAACGATATTGTTTCAATCTACGACGATCTCGCCGATTCGATACGAAACTACCTGTGTAAGATCGCCAAAGTGCTAGGATGGATCCTATTAATTCCGTCCAATACAGCCAATTTTCCATGCAGGGCCGCCTCGACCAGCGCTGAATTCTTCCAGACCGTATCGCCGTTAGATGATGTTGTTCGTTGCTGTATCAAATCCCTCGAAGTCATATCCTAAGATGATATATTTATGACGTATATTTTTTTGACGTATCCAGTAGGTAGCACAATAGATCCAAAGGTACATTATAACTAGATTTTATGGATCCAGGGATCCCAAAAGTTAAAGGAAACTGGATGGCTGGTCTAGTCTGATAGAGTTCTTAGGTCTGAGTCTTTGGAGACCCCAGACCCCTACGTGGCTGCAACCAGAGTCGTTGAAGTCTCGTCGATTGGTCATCGACATGTCGTCGACGCATCGTCGAAATGTAAATGGGTTAAACGTCGAAGAAAATTCAAATAATATGTGACACTTGCCTGATAAAGTACTACAGGTTCTACTTGATAACCCAATAAATTGGCCAACGTCTGTACAGTCGTAGACTTTCCACATCCCTTCGGGCCGATTACACACAAGTCCGAAACCAGGTGTGACTCCAACATACTGGCTAACAAATCGTTCTGATAATTTGTTTCTACATAATCATTCGACCCTACATTACAATTTATCTTTTGCTTGCCACAAGGAACCTGCTGGTAGAATTTCCATTCAAGTACATAACGATACAAACGTGTCGCTGTGATTTTCGTCTTTGTCTATCAGCACTTACGTTCAGTGTTGTTCTATGTTTACCATGCTCTATCGTAACCCTCAAAGAATCGTCCTGTTTCTCGCTTACATTCGCGCGTCTGGAAAGTCTATCACCCTTCGTCGTTGAGTCTAGAATACTGAATGTTTTTAACATATCCTCGACCGCAGTTTGGCCCTCCTTCCCCAGAAACAATTTGTACGGATAGTACCTGTAAAATATGTCAAATACCGGCAGGTGTGGACATTTGTCCTGCGGTGAGATTCAAATTAACTGAGGGTTTAAAGAGATCGCCGTTCGCAACGTAAGAATATTTACCATTATAATGGCGGCTGACGTTAGATTGTCCAAAGGGAAATCAGGAAGGCCCAAAGATACGGCCTCTTTCGTAACCAAAGCGTGCGCGCACGACAACAGTTGCGACAATCTCCCGCTGTCAACGTTCGGGACTAACTTTTTTAAAAATTCCAGTTGATCCTAAAATTAAACAATTACCAAAAAAAAAATAGATTTCATCATTAACATTGAATTAAAGAATTAAAGTTTAACAAGCATTCTATAAACCGAAATTATTTTCCGTAGCATTTTAGCACGCTCACTGTCACAGTGAAACATGTCGTACATGGCCAGACACACTTTATTTCATTTTGTAAGTCATAAATCTTCGAAAATATAGTATGCATTTAGTTAATACAGGCTCTTTGTCTTGTTTTAAAGTATAGTGCGATAATTAATTTTATGCAAAAATTTTGTAACGCTATTTAACTCTAGTGTTTACAACCAGAAAGTTCCATACTGTTTCAGGACCAGGGTACTCAGGTACCCGCCCCCTATCCCTCACGATCGAGTTTAGTTATGGTCACGTTACTTCCGTGAAGCAGCCGCATTGTTTCCGTTTGCCCGAAAACCGCATGCCCCGCGTAATCGCGAACGACCGCACGGTACGACGGAATGTTGCACCACGCCACGGTTTGTTTGAAACAGTCCCGGAGCCATGGGTGATTAGCGCCCGAAGAGAGCTTTCCATTGTGCAGTTGAGAGGGGGAGGGGGGCCAAGAGCCACGGGCAATAACTACCACTCGGCACGGAATCCTCTAGACAGCTTACAGATTCCCCATCGAAAAGTTTCAATTGAGCCTACATTCTCCAAGCCTATCGACGCGATAATCGCGGTTACAGCGGAAAATATACGACTGAAACGATCCGAGCAGAGAAACACACACTTCCCGTAAAAGCGGAGGATACAAACAGGGTGAAATCAATTCCAACTTAACTCTATACATTTGTTAATTTTAAACTGAATATGATGTATATTTAACCAATTCGTGGTCCCCGGTACATTGAACTACGATAATTTATTGGAATACCGGGACTTGCGTGTCGGTGCTTCTGAACAAAGTATTAATACTGTAATTGTTCGGCGACGTATTTAAAAAAGTTGGCAAAACTTTGTCACTCGGCAGATATTTATCGCGACGTACACGGAACATAGTGTCGATCTTATCTGTAACTATGATTTCTACAAGAAAATTTACGGTTAATCAACGATGCAGTAGTTTCTCTAAATTGTCTTCAGGGTCGTGAAACTAATTACAACTGGCATTAAACCGCGAAATCGAAATTTATCGTGCGATCAAATTCTATGACCGTTTCATTAATTACCCATTCGCGTTTCGTTCAACACGAGAATTACATCTGTTTTCATATTCAAAATATAATTTTTCCAATGAATACGTGATTTGCAAGTATAATTCCGACTAATAACAGAATTGCAAGTTTCACGCATTTACGTAACAATGTAAACGATGCAAACCACAATGAAGCAAAAACATTTACGAGTTTGAATAACCAAAAAAATGAAAATAGAAAGAATATTAAAAAATTGTTCGTGTGTGTGTAAAATAATATTTATAGGTGTAAAACCATTTTTACTCCGCAAATTACAATGCGTGACAGAATTCTGCAAAAAACAATACTACCTTTGTCTCATCACGGAAAAATGTCCTAAAGCAGTTTAAATACCTCGTGACTCCTAATTACGTTTGACTTTTTAAGTGACCCTACGGACGGGACTATTACTTATTTCGAATTTAACGGATATTCTCGTCGGTGAACGTGTAAAACTCGTGCGTCGCGACGTCTCGCCCCGGCACCATTTCACCGTCAGTTCTTCGCGCGAGAGAATAATGGATATTGACTCTCGATGAAATGAGATTTATCACGTCGTATCGAGTGTCGGCGAGAAGTAACGTGCACGGACGAAACCAATCGTACTTTCAATGCCAATAATTATCGTGAAAGCCTGGCAATCCCTCGAATGAAATTGAATTGATTTGATATGCGGACGAATTATCGAGTGATTCCGTGAAACTTTGCGTACATTCAATGAAAACTTTCAACTCGTTCTAGATATAGTTACAGCGAATAATGGAAAAAAAATATTTATATAAAAATAAAGACACCTTTTTTTAGTCAATTTAACATTTTTCGTAGAATACTTCATTCTCGAGGAAAACGATTTTGAAAATTCGTGGAAGTAAATTGTAACTTGGTTATTGTGCCATTCTGTTACTTGCTTAAATTGTTTGCTTCCTACAATAATTTTGTGTGAAATTATACGGTAGAAAACAGGTAATACCCTAGCACAGTCTTTGTAGCTAGTAGAAACACCTCGTACTGGTCAGACACGTTAATCAGGTCTATTCGAAAGCACGTTTTTCTCAAGGAATTTTCAAATCGAATTTTTTCGAAAATCTCTTTTACATATTTTACTCTATTTCACTGTGTTCTTACTGAATTTTATTACGTTCTACCCTCTTTTTCCTTATGAACTGAAAATTTTTCTGAGTATATTTTATTAAATATTATTAACTTCCAAACGTTTTATAAACATCTAACAAGTTTAAATCTCTATAAAATTCATTAACGGCATAATTTTCGTACGATGCTTCGTTTCCAAGATAATCGAATTCGAAAGCCTGCTGGATACACCGACAATCGAATAGGACTTTGCTAACGTGTCTGTATAGTACATTATAATAATTACCTTGATGCAATTTCAGCAGCAGAACGTATAAAAATATCCTACCCCTACAAATCGCGTCCATTCAAGAAGCTCAAAACCATTCGACTGAACTCTTAAAAGAATTTTCTTCAAGATCAAAGAGAAACATTGATGAAGAAGATACATATCACAGTAGAAAATAATGTTCCCGTTAAAACTACTCGTTAAAAGTTTCATATAAATTACAGAACAGCTACAAAATATTATACGCGTATCCCCCCCGTTTAATCGTTGATCAATGATTCCTGCGAGGACGTGGTCTCTTTGCAGACAAGATTCGGCATCACTACATGCAACTGCAGCCGTCTAGGAGGTGACCAGGTGGCAGATATTCGTTCCCGCGTTCGAACCTCCTCTTTCGATTCCTCTTCCTCCGATTTCAGGCTCTCGTTCGCGGACGACACGCAGAACAAAAGATCTGACGTCGCCTCGTCGCTGTCCCGAACCTCCTCTCTCTCGAACTTTATCTTAGGCAGCCTCCTCTTCAGCATCCTGTTCTCCTCTGTGCCGACACATTCAGCACCTCCCTCTCTACGCAGTTTGTAATTCTGTATCACGATCCTCTCCTTCTCCGCGAACGATTCCCGTTTGAAACGCGACCCTCTTCGCCTCACGAGCCTCCACTTCCGGTCCTCGTCGCGCGGCGAACTTACCGCAAAGTCCTCCTCAAGCTCGCAGCTCTGCGCCCTTCCGGATAAATCCAACCACTGCAGAACCCTCTCAAACAGTGGATTCCAGAACGCATCGAACGTTCTCTCCGTTCGTCTTCGTTCCGTTCTGTTCGAGCTAGAATTCCGCTCCGATTCCGGTGTTTTTCGTCCGTAAATTTCATCCTTGAAAATCGGTCTGTTCACGCGAACCTCGATATTCTGTTTCCCCGTTCGATGATCCTTTTCGACTGTCTTGTCGTCCTCCAAGGAATCAACATTACCGTTCGGTGTGCTCGACAGTCTGGTACAAGGAGGCGCAGATAACTTCCGGTATACCCGCGATGCCCTGTTCTCCGACTTGTTGTTACCGACGACCACGTGCAGGTTGCTGAAACAGCTGTTCAAACGATCCAATTCCGATCCGATCTGTCGATATTCAGCCGAGTAACTTCTATTCCGGGACGAACGTGAACGTCGACGTAATTTCGGGTCGACGAGAGGGTCGTCCGGTGACAAAATCGCGTGTCGGATACCGTCTACCCAAACGGTGCGAACAGAAAGCGGTCTTTCCGAGGACGACCATATAGCCGGCATTGTCGATGAGAAATTTCAATAATTTCGCAACTCATATATTAAGAACAACGGAGAATTCAAACAAATTTGTCCTGTCGAACCATATTATCAACGGGAGCAATGTGCGTCCAGATTACGTAAGATTTACTTTTCTGAAAATGCTCACTATGTGAACCCTTTATCATAGTTTTGTTTCTTTAATAGATTTTTTTTTTCTTTTTTTTTTTAAATCACAGAATAAAACTTCCTGTTTATAGAGGCGTAATTCTGATTGTTTCTAATTTTTCTCGTGGAGTCGGTGACTGTTTCAACCAAATTCCGACGTATCGACTGTGTTTCTCTCTCTCGACTGAACAGAAGGACAAACAGGCTTCTTGTGTTCCGAGACACGCGATCCAAACCGCGATGACTGTGACCATAGCGCTGCGACGAACTGTTTATATAGGTAGGGAATGAGCCACCCCGGAAGGGATGGCCGCGACTGGAGGGGTTGGTGCGACCTCCGCACCCCCATGCCCGATGGTACGCCGTTACGCCCCCATAAATCAGGTGAAACTTCAGCACACATTGCACGTGCCGCTGTCTCCTCCTGGCCCGCGACAGTAATTACGAACGGGCGCACACTGGATGTTTCGCGAAATGTGAGAATAATTTCGGGGTAAATGCTGTTAGATCGTCCGGAATTTCACTGACGAATCGTAGTGAAAACTTATGAAATCGAACTTTTTATATTCAATAGATAGTTTCTATATTCAAATTCGAAATTTCGATTTCATAATTTTTCATTGTAATATTCTATTGTACTTGTTACCTCTCCTTTCATCGTGTTGTTGTTTGTGAAGCTTGAATTTTTTTAAATTGGAGACACTTCGAATAGTCGATTACCTCAAGTCGAGTTGTAAGGAATTTGAAAAAATACTTAATTATTAATCGTCATTATTGTGCGATGTAAACAAAGTTATTTTCGTTCGGTTATTACCCAGATAGCACATGACGCCCTGAAGACAGCTTCAAGGCGCCTCAGACCTAAAATAGTCGTAGAACGGGCGTCTTCAAGGCGTCATGTGCTATCTGGGTACTGAAATGATTAATGACGTGAATTTTTTATTAGAGTACAATATTCCTTTAAGATACTGGAGGACTTGAAACGTAAAGTGTGGTATATACAGATTATTATAAATATGAACGATTTCTTCTCTTAATAATCTCATAAATTTTTGTTTCAAATTTATTTTATAGTCTTGATGAATATGAAAAAAACCTTGAGTGAGTTGACTCAGTGAAAATGAGTATTGTATAGCTAATTTTTATAGTAATAATATAAATTTTACTATATATGTAGCCAAATAGCACATGCCGCCTAGAAGACGCTCATTTTACGCCCATTTTACGGCTATTTTAGGTCTGAGACGCCTTGAAACTGTCTTCAAGACGTCATTAGGCGTTATGTGCTATCTCGGTAGTATAAAGTTCTTTGTGCAAAATGGGACAGTGAATTAAACTAGCAGAATCAGACGATTTTGTGAAAAGTTTCCTAACAAGCGTCATTAATAGCGCAATTATGTGACTAAAAAATGTATCGCGTTAAAAGATAAACTCAATAGTTTGTAGATAAATTATTGAAAACAATACTTTAATACAGTTTGAATGAAATATTATTATTAGATGTATAATAAGTTATTATTAGACATAAACAATAATTTAAATTACTTACTTCATAATTTGGAGGTGGTATATGTCTGCCTTGAAACCTAGATCTAAGGGGAGGGTCGAGTGGATGTCCAGGATACTGTGGTGATGGTAAACCGAGTGCAATAACTCTAAAATCTTCACTAACTCTGACAAGTCGCCAAGCATTCAACTCTTCTTGAGTATGTATCTAAAACAAATATTTAATATATTTAATAGAGTTAGATCTTCTACAATTGTATATAGCTTTATAATAAAAAATAATTAGATATATGAATATTTGGTACCTCAAGTAACTTGTCATAACGTGATGCTGGTATTAGAAATCTACCATCTTCTAAATGCATCTCACGATTTTCTAACAAATTATTCAATACAGGAAGTACATTTCGTTCAGCTTTCTCAACACCTTCGATAATAAGAACTCTTCCATTTGTTGCAGCCCTCACTGCACTTTGATCGTGATAGTAGGCAGTGCCACTTTTAATTTCTCTCCTCTGTTTTAAATCTGCCTCAGTTGTATCCCTTGAAAGTGCGATAAATTCTAACTCACGACCAGTGAGTTCCAGAAATGCTAGAGCTAATTCTCTTCGTCTGGTGCCTGGTCCACCCATTAAAAAAATATCTTGACATAAAATATCTTTTTGGAGCATCCATTTTAAATGCCTCAATGATTCTTGAGTAGTTGTCTTCATCACTATTTCAATGACAATTAACCGTCATTCTTTTTTTTCACAAACAACAGAACTTAAATTATACAAAACATAACTTGTTTGACTTACAATATTTTCTGGGTACATATTCAGGATTCTGTACTGGCTTCACTTGTTTTGAAACATTACCAATAGTGACAGTTACATCGTCTACAATAAAAATACGATAATTAAATACAAAAATTGGTATATCTCAATAGAATTATATGTTTATTGGATTTTCATTTAACTTACCTGATTTGCAACGTATAAATTGCGACAGGTTAGGATAAAAAATTTGTGACTTTTCTACAACTCTAGATGCAGTTGACATGCGACGAAGATTACAAAACACAAGAGACATTGTTTAACTTAACGTTTCTTCCAAAACATAACAATACTTTTAATTGTCAAAGAAGAGTTATTGTATAATGCATTATACCACGTGTTAACGAACGAATAAACGTTTTGATTTAAGTTTCATGATATTACATCATTTCGCTTACTAGCATATATAAGGAAGATATTTTAATTGTTTTGATAGAATACTATTTTAAGGTTAAATGTATATTCACCAATATAAATTATATGCATGTGTTGACTATATATATGTAATAATCATCAGCTGGAATTAAAAAGTATATCAGGCTAGATTCGTAATTTGTATTTTATAGGCCAAAGTACAGATTTATTAAGCAATCTTATGGACTTAAATATATTATTCTTTTTTTTTAATAATATATACTTACCACGAATTATTTTATACAATTGATACATAAACCAGTGTAACATATACAGTTAACAAGTGATGTACAAATTAATTTTTGTTGTTACCAATCAATCCCAATAGTGTTTAAAAATATTTTCTTGACACATGTTTAATTCATTTATACTACTTCAAACTACTCAAAGGTCAGTTAAAGATAATGATCATACATAAAACAAGTGATGAGTAATGACAAAATTAATATACATTTACAGTTGATATAATTCTTTTATTATCACACTGGTGATTATTACAATAATTCTAATAACTATATTAACATCAACATATTTCTTATTGCTGCTTAAACATTTTATTAATAGCTACACAAACTAAATCACAATATAGAAAATAAACAGTCTTTTTGTTATTTATCTCTTCCAAATATTTGAAATATAAACCATAACTTTGTACTTCATAATAAAGATTGGCAAATACAATACAGAAAATAAATAATCCTTCTGTTATTTATATCTTCCAAATATTTGAAATATAAAACAAAATTTTACATTCGATGATAAAAATTTGCTTCTAAATTCAAACAAAAATATTTTTGTATATCATCTAAATTTAAAATATCAAAGCAATAAAACATTAAAATATTTGTTTCATATTGCTGTTTAAAACCCTTGATAAGTGATAGTTATAATAATAACAAAATATGTAAATGAACTATAACTTCTTTTTTCCTTAATAACTTTCAAGTTATCTATTTGTTTACAATGTGTCTCGATGTTGCGATTATTCTTTATAGGAAATCATAACTTTAAGTACATTATGCATAGTACTTATGTATACCATTCTATACTATTTAGGCAGTAAATTGGAAATGTGAAGCAACCTTGGAAAAGCACCATTACAACAAATGAGATGACATGAATAGCCATGTAATTACATACCCGTTTACCTAACATTGAGTATTATGCATCATACACACTGTATAATATACTTAATTCATGTATGTGAATCTTCATATAAAGTCGTATAAAGAAAAATATTATATATTTGCTATTAGTTTAAAATAGCCAGAATCGGTAAATCAAAACAATCCGAGATATGTATAAGATATACATAATACGTGATAGAACATAATTATTATTCCTTTAAGGATAAAAGTTTATAATTATTATCCTTAATAAGAACATAATTATTATCCTTAAGTTTTTGTTAATACTGTATGAACATTTGACTAGGACAATAAATACCCTACAATCAAGTGGCGATTACTTACTTTTACCCTGTCCATTTCAAAATCAATCTATCCATCTTTGATCAAACTCTTAGAAATACAGGAATACCATTGCGATTGTGCAATAAGTTACATATAGGAATCAAGGGAATTAAATACTTCTTATGGATTATACATAATAAAATATTCTTTCTTTATCCAAATTTAAATATTTCTCTAAAAAAAACAAAAAAATGTTATATTAACTTACAGATTAAAAAATAATGCGAATATTGTACATTTTAATTACAATTATCAAATTTCAAAATTTACCTCTACAAAGTCGTCCGTTCTTCTAGCATTGGCAGGATAATAGTCAACAATTAATGGACGTGGTCTTTGACCAATACCAGACGGTTGCTGTAGTCCACACGCTTGTTCTTCGTTTGTAAGAACGCTTACTAAGGTACTGACTACCTTTTCATCCAATTGCGACATAGCTTTATTTGGCGTTTTCATACGTCTTAAGAATAAAGCATTCCATTTTTGTCTTAAATGTAAGAAGATCCGGGCAGTTTCAGTATCAAGTTTAAATACAACCCAATCATCGAGTTTGAAGATTGTTCCTTCGTTACTTTCATCAACTTCAGAATCTGACTCACTTTCTGGTACAGCTATGAATCGATAATAAAGATTTTTAAATATGTAGCAAAATAATATCGAAATAGCGAGCAGTACAATAATACTTACATTCTGTTTCATAAATTACATCTACCGACAACCTTGCTGGTCCACAAAACAGTGCTACCGTTAATGAATTAACTAAAGTAACCATTTTTACGTGACAAAAACGACCCGTTCGACTGATTTCTTCGTAAAGTAACCAATCAGAAGGTAAAGTTTCCACGTTAGCTGCATGTGTCTGTGCGGATGTCGTTCTTGGTGACTTTGGATAATCTCTCAGAGTCGATGATGGATGAAAGCATACCTTCACTTCCTTCCTATAAAATTTATTATCGATTATATAAAAACAACAAAAAGTTTCACTACATAAAACGAACAAAACATACTGTGTTCGTAACTGCATGTGTTCCCTGTCAACTCTCATTAAATTTGGATATAAACCGGCAGTTATAGCTGCCTTCACCACTGCCCAATTCTCCGAATTAGAATTCAAATCTCTAATATCTCCTGGACCCCTTGCTCTAACAAACCCAGACGCACGAAGTTGACCAAGAAGTTGCGTACGCATTCCAACTACCATCTCCATTACAGCAGCAGAAATAAAATTTTGTTCACAGAATGTGCGTTCCTTGCCACTTGCGCGTGCATTCTGCCAGCCTTGAAATGCGCGTAACACAGCCATATGATCGGAGTATGTATTGGTGGCGAATCTTTTGCGAGCTGCGGTAGCAGCTCTTTTTTGTGATGGTTGTAACGGTAAAATGAAGGGATCCCTAAAATTAATTACTTTGCATAACATTCCATTCGTTTAGATACATGGTATATTAACATAATAATGTTAAAATTAGTACTTTTTACATACCTATAAGATAAACTGCATACAATAGTTAAGACTGGATCTAGGCACTTCAAAACAACAGCATATAGTAACATTTTTCCAAGTCGTGGCTCAATTGGTAAGTCGAGTAAATGACTTCCCAATTCGGTCAGATCTTCCCATGGGTCTAAGGCATCAATAGTTTTCAGTAATTGTACTGCATTTCTTGTTACAACGTTGGAGGGTGGCTCCAAAGCTCTGTCCAAATATTCAGCAATGGGCGTGTTACCCGGTGCTAAATGTTTTGTATATAAGCATAATTCTTGCAAAGGTAGTCTTAAAATTTCTGAAGTTTGATAAGGCTGCATAATGTTGTACCGAATAGATGAAAATAAGCGGTAACAAATGCCTTTTCTGCATCTGCCTGCTCTACCTTTACGTTGCTTAGCACAAGCTTGAGAAATCCAGTTACATTTAAGCATACATACTCCTAATAGAGCATCGAAAGAGTTTTCTTTAACTTTTCCGGAGTCAATTACGTAGACAACATCATCGATTGTAATACTGGTTTCAGCTAGGTTTGTGGAAAGGATAATTTTTCGTGTTCCCTGAGGACTTGGTTTAAACACTTTCTTCTGGTCACACGTTTGCATGTTGGAATGAAGCACGTATAAAGTATACCGTAAACCCTGATTCATTTCTTTTTCTTCATTATTTATTTTCTCTCTCATAGTAACAATGTCATCATACCCGGGCAAGAATACTAAAAGTGAACCAGGAGGCATTTTCAGATGAATATATAAAATCAATTGTAAGAGAAGATCGTAATTGATATTGTCGTCATTAAATGTATGATGGTATGTGTCTAACAAAAGCTTATCTTCGTCCGACAATGAAACATCTTTAGATTGTGCAATCGCGTCGTCTTGTGGTGTACAATCATAAGTTTTCATATAAGCTTCGATTAATTCAGCGCATTCAGTTTGATTCATATTTTTCGCCCAATCTAACGCAGTCCATTCATTGGCAGCTCGTAAATTTAAATTAGCACCCAGGTTTAGAAGTTGTTCCGTCGTATTTATACATCCTCTACCCGCAGCCACCATGAGTGGAGTTACAGACGTTGCGGAATGTTGATAGTCGACAGAAACATTTTCGGAAAGTATAAAATATAAAAGTTGCGCAAAATGATCTTCATCGCCACGTAACCACGCATCAGAAATACTTTTATCTATTTCTTCTACTAACCAAGGTTCTAATTTTACTTTCTCTGGAATAGGTTCACTTTGTTGAGCTAAAATAGGTGCAGGTAACGATCGGTCATTTTTTAACCATTTTTTAACCGTATCTGGAACTGTCTGTTCCGGTTTATATTGAGTCCAAGACTCTAAAAGTTTATGTTGATCTTTTTTCTTCATAAGCTCCTTTTTTTTAGCAACCATTTCTTTCGTCATATAACCAGTTAATTTTAAAACATCTTCGAGGAAATATGTGTCCACATCAAATGATCTACCCACAACATTAATCACTGCACATTTATTAAAATATTTTACAAAAATGTCAACGTCCAATGTAGCACTCATAAGTATGAGTTTTAAGGATCTGTGTTTTAATAATGCATCTTTGAGCGCTATCAGAAGGAAATCACAAAATTTGTCACGTTCATGAACTTCGTCTACAATAATATGCGTGACGGTATTTAAAGCAGAATCACCTGCCATAAGAGTTCTAAGCAATACACCATTTGTGCAATACGTTAAAAGTGTTTTTGGAGCCACTCTACTTTCGAGTCTTATTTGATATCCAAACGTTTGGCCAATCTTTTCGTCCCTTTCAAATGCAACTCTTTCAGCGACCGAAACGGCCGACAATCGTCTTGGTTGAGTGCAAATAATTCTACAGGGTTGATGCCTCTGTTGGCAATGTTCAAGTATAAATTGCGGAACTTGTGTTGTTTTACCACAACCAGTTTCACCTCCTATTATTACTACTTCATTCGTGTTCAAAGCATTCAGAATATCTTCTCTAACGTTAAAAACTGGAAGAGATTTACGAAAATACAATACATCGAAATTTGTTTTCAGTTGTGGTACTTGTGGTACACTGTTGTTTAATCTCCCCATAGCTTTTGTGTTTGTATGTACAGAAACTAAAAATAATAGACAGTGACATTACTGAAAGAATTTCAACAAAAATGTAGATTAAAGATGATAATAGGTATTGGGGAAAGTTCTTCAAGTGTGTTTTTCCATTCCTTCGGAAGTCCTACCTCACTCTGCTTATTCACTAGAGTTAACATCCACAGTCTACCATTTTTTCAGGTCAATGGAACATTCATTCAGGGACAAGAATTTTACAGATTATGAAGACACATGCAAATTCAATGTCTTTACTGCATTCAAACCAGTATTACTTTTTAAAAATGGAATTTATAAATTAACTGAATGGTTTAAAGTTTCAAAGAATGATTGAAAATATAGTTCCAGAAAAACAACCGAAGAACTTTCACTAACACTTAATATTGTTACCATCTGTATTAAGCGGTCGTTCGCGTTCAATAGGCGGTAGTAAATCATGACATTCTTTATGATTTAATGGAAAATTTTGTAGTAGAGTATAAATACTTTGTCTGGATGCTTTTTGCAACTTCAGTACAGCATCAGCTTGAACTATAGTCGAACCCTCCCTTTTATATACTGTTAAATAACGATTTCTACCTTTCCTACAAAAAACAAACTTTATATGTTCTATTTATCAGAATATAATTAGAGCATATTATCTTTTACTTACCCCCTACTTTTAGATTTTAATCCAAGTACACCTGCAATCTCATGAATATACGCTCTGTCATCAGCTGTATATGAAGAAGGAAATTCCAATTCTTTCTGATCTGTAGATTCCAATAACTTTTTCAGTGTTAAATTGACAGCAATTCTTGTGTCCTCCCCAACTAAGGGACTTTTCTTACAACGACTTTGACGTGGCATAGTGTATGTATAATAATTATTTCTGTAAATCAAGTATGTTATGAAACAACTAGAATTATTATTACAATTCTTCTCAAATTTATTTAAAACATCAGTAACTAGTTTGGCAATGCTTTAAAAACATATATTATTTCAGAATCTATGACAGCATTGGTAAATGTAAGAAAACAAATATTTTGATGAAGTCAACAGTTACAAAATTCTGACATAATAAATATATAATGAACTATGAATTACTAAACTGTTTATAGTTTTTAAGGTGTTATTATTGAAAAAAAAGTATATACATCGAACGCAATCTAATAGCCATAGGTCATTTTTTGTTCTATTTGAGCTCCCCTACCACTACTTAAAATATTTCAACGTATACTTTGAGTACTTCATACAATATATTTCGTATGTAAATTACTCGTAATGAATAACGTTTCAAATTCTTTATCTATCAAATAACACAATAACTCGACAAAGATGCACATACATTTTTCATGAACATAAAAACTTTATTTACACTCACAATTCACACCACCTTGTCGGAACACATGAATTCTTTCGTTAAATAACTCTACACGTAGTAACCAACTATGTAATAACGAAGTGGCAGTGTAGATCGTTGTAATGTCCGTAATATTTCCGGAAAATTATTATTAATAAAAATACACCACATGCGAACAACGAGTCGTACTAAACAGATACGAATAATATTTATTGTATCTACGTCGTTTTCGATTACATATTAACTCCCCCTAGTACTAAACCCACAAACCGACCGTATCTACGACGAGCAACTTCTGTCGATAAAAATCGGGAACTACATCTGCAGCCGAGCAGCCTCGTATTGTTACCGATACAAATCATTCACAACGTTGGTGTCGTTCACCACAGATGGTCGATCTATCGTTTCCATGGGAGATCCGCAAAACAGTGAAAGCAGGCACACGGGCCGAATACAGTTCCAGTAAACAATATGGCCGGTTTAGTTTGGTGCGCGGGTTATGTCGTCCCTATTGTATTTACCAAGTGTTTATTGTGCCACAGTTAGGATTAGCTGCATTCGGTAAGTGTACATTATCTAGAAAGTATATAACTTCAAGCAGAAAGTTGAATGAACGCGAACCGCGATAAAGGACTTTGAACGCAGTGATTGACGGTTACGAGAGTGTGCCTTTCCGTCAATTACCGTACAACCGTGTTTCGAAGATATCAGTGAAACCATAATGTAGATTTTCGACACGATCATGTTTATATCTTTCTTACTCGACGAGGCATCGTAGATATTTTAAGCGTTCGAAAATGTCACGAGTCAAACGAAACGTCGCTTCTTGAAGTTTTAAAAGCGAACGAGAACCACGGCGAAGATAGTGAGGTCCGGCGGTGTTAGACGGTATCTTCTTTCACCTTCTTACGCGAATTGTATTTAACTGGCCAGCTTGTCGCCGGTCCGCGTCATCCACGAACTTTGCCAAGACTCCACTTTTCGATTGGCATTCTTCCTATGTGGCCACGATAAAGATTAAACGTCGTGATAACGTAACCGCGAAGCAACAGGTTTTTTGCCGAGAAACTGCCGATGACCTCTCGTTTCAGTACTCCCGACTTGATGCACTCATGACTCGTGAACGTAATTGTTATGTACACTTTTCATTTGCCTGTTTACGTGAAATAGGGAAAAGTGGCCGGCGCTTTGGCGGAAAATGTGGTTATACCTTGAGGCATTTAGTCGTGGCCGCAATAAAGTTCTGTCTTGACCGTACAATTGAATCAGAGTGCAGTGCATTTTCTGCGGAACTGGTATGCCGGTGGTTGCAGTGACGTTATTGTATGTACTTTAATTATATACGTTTATTAATGCTTTTCTTTATACATTGACACAGAGAATTGTTATTATTGATAGTCGAATGTAAAAGAAGATAATTCATATCGATCAAAACAAAATAAAGTACGAGTGTGAAATTCTTCTAGAGATCTCGTTTTCGAAATAGTCGATTCGAAGTGTCAATACTGTTTTGAAGTAACGTTCAGTTTGGGGAATCATATTATTCTCGTGTTTGATAGTTAAGGATAATAGAAAAAACAATTCAGAAACTAACTAACTAACATTAGGTTGCATTTCGTTAGGTACCATTAATTTATGGAAGAAGAAATACCGGGTCATAATTTTGGTATTCAAATGTCCCGCGCATTTTCAAACATGATTATAATGTCCGTAAACGGAAAATTTAATTCAAAATTTCGATTTGCTTTTCAGTTCAATTCACTAATAAGTTTGTATATGTTTTTTTTTTAACGACGCATTAAAATTTCCATAAGTTCGTTTTTTTTTTTTAAATTCTTTAGTTTTGTAAGCAAATAACACGCCACATATAAGATTGTAATAATACTTTGAAGAATTATTTTACTGTCGCTACAGCCGACCTTATTTTAGGGACAATTTGTATGAAGAATAATTCCACGTGTCAAGATTGCTTTATTACGGCTTATACATATAGTATATTATACATTGGTGTGGAAACCAAGTTAGAGGGTTAGGAAACGTATTTAGTTCCGAGGATAAGGAAACGTATTTAGAAGTACCGTAAACACAATGATCACAATGACCCTGTGATGTCAGAAACGAGGATAAGGAAACGTATTTAGAAGTACCGTAAACACAATGATCACAATGACCCTGTGATGTCAACTGGGAAGAATGTAAACCGTGTGTGAGCACTTGTAGCACGTGTATATAGGACACGCGTTTGCATTCTGTGTCTAAATATAATAAAATTTATTAGTAAACAACTAATTAAATTACTTATAGTATACTATAATACACAGTGGTGATCTTTTTTTGTTACTTTTTGTTCGGATTCGTTTAGAATAATTCTTCTTCGAAGAATACGTTGATATTGTAGTATAAATGTTTTTCGTACCGAGACTCTGCTTCCGAGAAAGTCGAACTGAAAGATTCGCCGAGTACACGTGCACTCGCCCGGCAAGGTGAATGCTCAACGCTGAAATGCGGTCACGTGATAGCGATGGTGTACTTACCTCGGAGACATCGAAAATATTGATCGCGTGAAACAGCTGATCATTCGATATCCCCAAGAATTGAAAACTTAACGATATGTGATTGAAAGATTTGAGAGTTTCGGAAACTTTAAGTATTCATAATACATTTAACTATTCCGAAAGAAGTAGTAGCCTGTAAGTAATTCATTGGATTTTTCAAATCTACGATTTTTTTTTTATAGAAATAACACTCTTGCCAAAGTAAATTATTTTTACACAAGACGCATTCGTTATTTTTTGCTAATAGAAATTGTAGAACATTTGCAAAGGAAGCAAGGTAAATTACAAATACATCTACTGAAAAATATTTATCGACGTTCGTGTTTACAATGAGAATGTACAATTGTACAATTTTGTACTTTTGTGTAATTTTAACGAACTTTTCATTCAATATTTATCGATTGCGTGTACGAACGTTGAAGAATTTCGTAATTTTTACTGATGTCAAGAGAAAACAACTGCCTAGTGTATGGTAATATAAAACGCGTTCCGTGCATTTGTAGAATGAATCGTACACGATTCATGCATTTGTAGAATGAAATATGTATCGAGATACGACGGTTCAATCGTGACCCATTAAACAGTTGTAGATTTTGCATAGAAGTGGACCACTTTCGATTTCACTTCCCCAGAAACGGTCTTCGGAAACTTTTGGTTGCATCACTGTTTCTTCAGATGTTGCTGAAATTTACTTTGCGCTTCGTTTGCTTGGTTACGAACGTCGAAATCTGTTTATTTTTGTTATTTTATAAAGAGTACACAAGCACGTTATCATGAAAAGAAGACGTACACATGGTGTTTACGTTAGTCTAGCCAACGTTTTTCTCATAAACTTTTAGTATATAAATGAAATAAGAGAAAAAGAAATGTCCATTGCGACTTGGGAATTTATTTGGAAAAAACTAATGGACTTTTTCTACAACTACCACAGTACTAAAAAATGTATCATATATTGTGTAACTTATTGTAATTTTTTTTTGTACCCAAATATTAAAAAATGAATGAGGAATAACCACTCTCCCGGAAGCTGCTTTTTTTAATTTGCTTTGAGGTGAGCACGATTTCTCGGAGCTGGTTTATCTTAAATTAAAAATGCAAAAAGACTCTGGTAATACATGACTTTATTTAGTAAGTGAATGAAGGATTTTTCAAAAATTATTTGTGGACAAAATGGTTAAAACAAAATGCTTAAACTGTATCTTTTTCGTGAATTAAAAAAAAGGAGTTTTCATTAGAAACAAAAACCCTTCGTTCACCTGCTAACTAAAATCATATATTAACAGAATCTTTTTAAATTTTTAATTTCAGATGATCCAGCTCCGAGAAATCATGCTCACCGCAAAACGCCTTAAAAACAACAGCTTCCGGGAGAATGATTGTTACTCATTCATATTAATATTCTGATACAAAAAAAACTACAATAAGTCGCACAATGTTTGAATAAAGTATTAGTTGTAAAAATAGGCCATAGTTTTTCCCCAAAAAATTCCTAATTATCGTCGTTTTTTTTGGCTTGCTGATTAGGCATGATCCCTTAAGTAAAATTACGTTTAAATTTATGAAATCTACATGAATTTATCACATTTATCGCTGACATTGATGGTCTTGGAACAATACGGATAATTTTATATAATTTTCTGTTAATCACATTTAGTGTAACAGTGTAACAATAATAATGAGGCTGATTTACGTTTTGATACCAAAAATATGACGAATAAGCCATTCCGTTTCCAGGAATACTTTTGTCCGATAGTAGAATGATTTTTCAAGGAAAACATAAGATTTTTTTTCGGCGCCACATTTTTCTTGCTCGAGATTCGAATAGTGTGGTCGGTTGCCGTTCATTTGGGAATTACGTAAGTCAACATCGCATCTGCTCGTTGCGCTTGTCCTGCTAGTTAATGCTCGGGCAAACTGTAAAGATTCCAATTGATCGGGGCCTCAGAAGGTGGCGCGGCAAGTGCTCACTGTCCGACGACTGTCACGAGCTAAATAAATGTCGGATCAAACGGGCCGATAAATCCCAACCGATCCAACTCGTTTGCATGTACCCTTAATTGACCACCTATGCCGCAATTCGGGCATAAGCGTGATGGTCACGTCTCGTCCGCGATTCAATTGTCCTCGTTGATCGTTAAACAAAAGAAATGAATATGTATATTACCACTTATCGATGTATCGTGATTCATTAGGAGAGTAAATAGCGAATTAGAGATACATCTAAAATGTGCTATTTTTCTCATGAAATTCGATTAATTTAATTAATTTACATAAGTCTGTTTGACCTGGAATGATACTGGATTGTTTGCACATATTGTGTGAATGAATTGTGTGAACCGTAAACGAACTGAATATGCAAATTCTCAAATAAATACGAATGATACAATTTCACTTCGAATTTTCTTTATGTAGGGGAAACGAACCAGTAATTAGTGCATATCAGTAAATGACCACTAGGCAAGAAATGTAAATTATAAATTTAAAAATGACTAAATGTTTATAAGTGGAGTGTTGTTGCTCTTTTAATATCCCATATTTTTAGTTTAGCGGTTTAAGCAAACATTAGTAAGTACAATT